CATGATATCTGTGACACACAAACACTACCATGATATCTGTGACACACAAACACTACCATGATATCTGTGACACATAAACATCACCATGATATATGTGACACACAAACACTACCATGATATCTGTGACACATAAACATCACCATGATATCTGTGACACACAAACACTACCATGCTATCTGTGACACACAAACACTACCATGATATCTGTGACACACAAACACTACCATGGTATCTGTGACACACAAACGTTACCTTGATATCTATGACACACAAACACTACCATGCTATCTGTGACACACAAACACTACCATGGTATCTGTGACACACAAACATCACCATGATATCTGTGACACACAAACACTACCATGATATCTGTGACACACAAACATTACCATGCTATCTGTGACACACAAACACTACCATGATATCTGTGACACACAAACACTACCATGCTATCTGTGACACACAAACACTACCATGCTATCTGTGACACACAAACACTACTATGCTATCTGTGACACACAAACACTATCATGCTATCTGTGACACACAAACACTAACATGATATCTGTGACACATAAACATCACCATGATATCTATGACACTGACACACAAACACAAGCAAGATATATGTGACACACAGATAGACAAACACTACCATGATATCTGTGACACACAAATACTACCATAATATCTGTGACACACAAACACTACCATAATATCTGTGACACACAAACACTACCATAATATCTGTGACACAAAATTCAATTGCTGCATCAATGTTAATCTGTAGTGTCTGGTTACAGCCGGCTGCAGCCAGACTGGAGTTGATGACAGCCCCGGAGCACAGACTGTAAACCTTGTCCTTGTCCAGACCTGATGGAGTCGGCCACTTGGTGTCCTGCATGTTGAGACATCCAGTTGTCAGAATAACCCACACAAAGAATGTAAGATTAACCCAAATACAGAATGTAAGATTAACCAACAAACAGAATATAAACTAATCCACACACAGAAAGTAAGGTTTACCCATGCACAGAATGTAAGGTTAACCCATGCACAGAATGTAGGATTAACCCATGCACAGAATGTAAGGTTAACCCATGCACAGAATGTAAGGTTAACCCCAGTACAGAATGTAGGATTAACCTACATACATAATGTAATGTGGCAGAATGACAGAGAACAGATGGTGATTATTTTAATTAGGCTTAAAGCGAGCCAAACTTCTGGGCACTGGGTATAAAAAGGCCAACGCACTCTGGACGGGTCTCATTTTTATTCCGGACTGAACCTGCAGTTGCTCAAGGGCAGGAGACCCACTCAGCTGTTGTGATTTTGCAGATTGGACTAAACAGCGTGGGTACGGGCAATTGCGGGGGATGACCGGTATCCTGACTGATTTCATGGCTGTGGTATGTTTCCATAATTAAATCTGAATTTGTCTCTAGTAGTTAAACTGTGTGGGTAGATATATCAGTGTGTATCCTCACTCAGAGATAGTTTGATTGTATGTCGCTATAAGTGATTTACTGGTCTGGTTACATATTAAAGCTTAACGTTCATGTTAATATGTTTAGGTTTTTGCCATTGTTAATGTAATGTTTTTGAGCGTATAAGTTCATTATCATATTTCCTTGTTAGCTGGAGATGATTAGCACTTTAGATTTTGGTTGAGCACGTTGGTTGTTGTTAATGTATTGTTTGTGAAGCATACATTAATTCTGTGTTCAGTTTAGTAAAATAAACAGCTGTTTAAGAGGAAGACCAAGGAAACGGTGGATTGACGGGGTCTCCGAAACCTGCCAAAAGCATGGCCTCAGAACATCAGATGCTGCCCGCCTTGCTTATGACAGGAACTTGCATCTCCCCACAACGCTTAGCGGCATACGTGGAAGGAAAAAGTAAGTAAGTAAGTAACAGCTGTTTAATGTGATGATTCAATTTAAGATCTGTAGTCCATGCACATGGTTCATCTAGGTGTGTATAGTCATCTTGTGTGTTAGTGTGTAACATAGAGCTGCTCAGATATCACTTATCTAGGTCTTAGTGGAATATTCTAGGACCCCTGCAGAGAAGAACCTCTTGTCTTTTCTGTATTTTTCCTGTTTTTGCTGTCCAAGATTTTAAAATTTTTATTTACGCTAGCACAGTAAGATTAACCCACACACAGAATGTAAGATTAACACACATACAGAATGCAAGATTAACCAGATACAGAATGTTAGATTAACCCGCATATAGAATGTAAGATTAACCCACATTCAGAATGTAAGATTAACCCACATACAGAATGAAAGATTAAACCACAAATAGAATGGGAAACTAACCCACAGACAGAACATCAAACACGGACAGACATAAAGAAACAGACTGACAGCCAGGTCACATATAGAGTATTATCATACAGCCACAGTGTCACACTCATACACAGTTTATAGTTAACAAATTCAATATAAAGAGATTTTTAATTTCACTGCACTGCTAAATTATTACGAGTAATATCGTTTTCTGGTCAATGTAACATTCCTTAAAAGTCTGCCTGTAAATTCTTGAATTGTCTGCCCTTGGCCCCTCTGAGTCCCTTCTTTGGCAGGAACTGAGAACAATGTTAGTCTGCCATAAGTTTTGCACTCTTGCTGGTCTGCATGACTGCAGTGTGTCTGTCAACAGTGGTTGTTAGTGATAAGTATATACTGCAGTGTGTCTGTCAACAGTGGTTGTTAGTGATAAGTATATACTGCAGTGTGTCTGTCAACAGTGATTGTTAGTGACAGGTATACACTGTTATGTGTCTGTCAACAGTGGTTGTTAGTGACAGGTATACACTGTTGTGTGTCTGTCAACAGTGGTTGTTAGTGACAGGTATACACTGTTGTGTGTCTGTCAACAGTGGTTGTTAGTGATATGTATACACTGCTGTGTGTCTGTCAACAGTGGTTGTTAGTGATATGTATACACTGTTGTGTGTCTGTCAACAGTGGTTGTTAGTGACAGGTATACACTGTTATGTGTCTGTCAACGGTGGTTGTTAGTGACAGGTATACACTGTTGTGTGTCTGTCAACAGTGGTTGTTAGTGATAGGTATACACTGTTGTGTGTCTGTCAACAGTGGTTGTTAGTGATATGTATACACTGCTGTGTGTCTGTCAACAGTGGTTGTTAGTGATAGGTATACACTGTTGTGTGTCTGTCAACAGTGGTTGTTAGTGATAGGTATACACTGTTATGTGTCTGTCAACAGTGGTTGTTAGTGATATGTATACACTGTTGTGTGTCTGTCAACAGTGGTTGTTAGTGATAGGTATACACTGTTGTGTGTCTGTCAACAGTGGTTGTTAGTGACAGGTATACACTGTTATGTGTCTGTCAACAGTGGTTGTTAGTGACAGGTATACACTGTTGTGTGTCTGTCAACAGTGGTTGTTAGTGATAGGTATACACTGTTGTGTGTCTGTCAACAGTGGTTGTTAGTGATAGGTATACACTGTTGTGTGTCTGTCAACAGTGGTTGTTAGTGATATGTATACACTGCTGTGTGTCTGTCAACAGTGGTTGTTAGTGATAGGTATACACTGTTGTGTGTCTGTCAACAGTGGTTGCTAGTGATAGGTATACACTGCAGGGTGTCTGTCAACAGTGGTTGTTAGTGACAGGTATACACTGTAGTGTGTCTGTCAACAGTGGTTGTTAGTGATAGGTATACACTGTAGTGTGTCTGTCAACAGTGGTTGTTAGTGATATGTATACACTGTTGTGTGTCTGTCAACAGTGGTTGTTAGTGACAGGTATACACTGTAGTGTGTCTGTCAACAGTGGTTGTTAGTGATATGTATACACTGTAGTGTGTCTGTCAACAGTGGTTGTTAGTGATAGGTATACACTGTAGTGTGTCTGTCAACAGTGGTTGTTAGTGATATGTATACACTGTAGTGTGTCTGTCAACAGTGGTTGTTAGTGATAGGTATACACTGTAGTGTGTCTGTCAACAGTGGTTGTTAGTGACAGGTATACACTGCAACACACATAGTTCACATGTGCTGATCCAGGCCTCATTTACATAACATGTGAACATTTTAACAGCAACAGAAACCAGGTCTTACATCACTGTCGTAGGTGTAGTTCATGTCAAACTCAAAGACATCGACCTCTGTAAGATCGTCGAAGCATTGTTTTGGCTGATGAGACTGACTGAAGAGTTCCAAAGTCACATCTTTAACTGTTTAAAAAAAAAGTTAAAATTAAAAGGCTCACTATAAAATTGTTTTACTGTTTTTCTGGGAAAAACAATTATACTGTGTAGCAGACATTGCATAATCAAAGGTAGATTATTTCACTTTGCAGCTTCAAAATTAACTATCCCACCACACAATTTTATTTCAAGGCTGCTTCTGTCACAAAATCATGTAAGCTGTTTACCACCGTACCATCTTGTTTACATGATTGTTTTTGCAAGCAAACTAACACAGAACAAGAAAATCCCTCAGTGACACCTGGCAAGCTTGGCATGTAGGGCTCTATCAGGGATCGCAGCAGGAAAGAGGAGAGTTACATGTACTTGTCCAGTAGCTGACATAAAATAAGAAACAACATTAGAGAACCTGGCTGGATACCAGACATGACCGTCTGTGCCTGTTAGCAAGCAGTCAATGAAAGTGAAGAATAAACATAGTTTACAGGATAACTCTTTCAGGCCCATGAATTCTGACAGACTTGGCTCACATTAATTTCCCTTTACAAAAATACCAAAGAAGGTGATTTAAAAAAAAAAAAAAAAAAGAAATTGAGAAAGTAATATATTCCTAATACCTACAAAACTGTTGATGTGGAATGAATGTGAATTCTCCATACAAGAGCAGTGGATATCAAAATTTGAGAAGAAAACTGTAAAGTCTGCTTCGGTTTCCTAACAACTTAAAAAAACCTATGATACATTTCTGGGTTAGTTTATCACTGAGATTGCTGAACACAATTTCTAGAAACAAAATGGCAGAACATGTGACCTCTACACACAAAATATTAACTTTGTAGTTATATACATACTGTTGCTGCAATGATTTCAGTGCAGCTTAGCCATAGTATGAGTATGGTACTGTCTGAAACAGTCCTTTCGATGCAAATGTGGTTGACTATCACATACTTTGCAGATTAAATGGGTTCTCCTGGATTTACCTTATAAAAAAATAGCTGAAAACTCAGCTGCCGTTGATGTAAATTTAAAATCTGAGTCGCTTAAAAAAAATTAAAATTGTTCTTAATCATGATCATAATTAGAAAACATATGAAAGGCAAATTTGTCGAACTGTGTTTGTATTTCAGAACATCGGTAACCATAGTGACCAGCTGAACATGAAATCAGAAAATGCACTGTCTGAAAATTACGTTAGTAATGAATCCGATCAATGTACTCCCAAATGTGTGCAAACAAAGACTTTTACACAAAGAAAAACATTAGAGTAACCTTCCATGAATAATTTAATGGTAGTTCTGAACATTAGAAATAAATACAGAGTCATATGCTAATCGATATGTACAGGGAACATGATCAATGCTAACAGTGTTTTTTTGGGAAAATCGGAACTTCTTAATCAACACACAGCAATGCTCAGGCCTCAAAGAGAAAAAAACTCAGCACACATAAACATGCACACACACACACACACACACACACACACGCACACTCTCTCAATCTCTCTCTCTCTCTCTTTCTGTCTCTCTCTCTCACACACACGCACACATGGTTAGATACATACTCTGTTCACTGGTATTCCTCCTGTCACACATGGTTAGATGCATACTCTGTTCACTGGTATTCCTCCTGTCACACATGGTTAGATGCATACTCTGTTCACTGGTATTCCTCCTGTCACACATGGTTAGATGCATACTCTGTTCACTGGTATTCCTCCTGTCACACATGGTTAGATACATACTCTGTTCACTGGTATTCCTCCTGTCACACATGGTTAGATACATACTCTGTTCACTGGTATTCCTCCTGTCACACATGGTTAGATGCATACTCTGTTCACTGGTATACCTCCTGTCACACATGGTTAGATACATACTCTGTTCACTGGTATTCCTCCTGTCACACATGGTTAGATACATACTCTGTTCACTGGTATTCCTCCTGTCACACATGGTTAGATACATACTCTGTTCACTGGTATTCCTCCTGTCACACATGGTTAGATACATACTCTGTTCACTGGTATTCCTCCTGTCACACATAGTTAGATACATACTCTGTTCACTGGTATTCCTCCTGTCACACATAGTTAGATACATACTCTGTTCACTGGTATTCCTCCTGCAGTCAATGATGTAGTGATCACTTCCACATGATAGGTTAGCTCCCCTGGGACAATCACAAAACACAGCCGCTGTTGCTTGGGCATCTTCATCATCATCATCATCGTGAGGGCAGTAGCCACCATAAAGAGATTCATTAGCGGCCACCCTGTGTACAACCAGATGTAGACGTTGATGTTTATTGTATATGCATATAAACATTTATGCGTTAACAATGTGACTGTAAAATATTAAGTGACTAGACGAACCACTATGCATCGAAAGAAACTATTCAAATTTTATTTGGATGTGTTTAGTTTTGTGCTTCATTTGATGTTTATGTAATTCTGTAGTAACGCACCTGACGAGATACAGTGACATTTGCCTGACATGATTTTGTTTGTGTCCACATTATTTAAATTCATTACAGAAAAACATTGTTTTGAGTAAAATATTCATCTAGTGACTAACACAGACTAACATATTATGACAAAGACAAAAGACAGCAAAGCAAAGTGTAATAAATTTATAAAGTGCAGGTTGCACTGACAACACTACAGTTTGGAAAGCAATCTAATCTAATAGGCGTCTCATCTGTGGGGATTTCAATGCATGGAACAGAACATGGGACAAAAGTGGGGAAAATAGGCAAGGAAATGCATAAGCAGAGGCTATGGTGGATGCAGACGTAGTCTGTATAAATGACGGTAGGCCGGCTAGAATGGCCATGGGTCCTGGTGATGCAGACATGACGATTGATTTGGCATTTGTTACCCAGTCAGCAGAGCTGGACACAAAAGGAGTGTCCTATAGCAATCATGGGAGTGACCATGTGCCATGTCTGGTCTTGATTTCTAAAGCTAGCAAGGTCAATGCTGTGAGAACATGCAAGACTTTTAAGTATGAGAGGGCCAGTAGCCTTCTTGCACACCTTTGATCGAAGGTATGCAGCAGAACCACCATCTCTGCTTTTAGGCAGCCTCCATGGTGGACACAAGAAGTAGAACAGGCATGATGGAGAGCACAAGAAGTAGAACAGGCATGATGGAGAGCAAAGCGAGCAGCAGTTAAACAACTACAGAAAGTGCTAAAGGCACCTTACGGGTTACAAGAAGATGTAGAGAGGCTAGAAACTGTTAGAAAAGAAAAAGTAGAAGATTTTAATCGGTGTGCAGCAGATGCAAAGAAGGCTAAATGGGAACCTCATGGGTTACAAGAAGATGTAGAGAGGCTAGAAACTGTTAGAAAAGAAAAAGTAGAAGATTTCAAGCGGTGTGCAGCAGATGCAAAGAAGGCTAAATGGGAACATTTTATGAGCGAAATTGGAGGAGGCAGATCACTTGGTAGGTTTTGGAGAATTTACAGACAGATGCAAAGGGAGGATCGGCCTGTCACAACAGGCATTATATACTCTGATAATGATATACCAATGACAACAGACAACGAAAAAGGGGAAGCATTTTTGAAGAGATTTATAGCCCAAACTAATCATAATGATAGGCAGCTTAGAAATTCAGTTAGAGAGCATCTGTATAATAATAAAAAAGGATAATTATTTTCAGGGTATCATTAGGGTGGAGGATATAAAACACGTATTGCAAAAAAAAGCAAAGGACACTGCGCCGGGGCCAGATAGAGTCAGGTCTGCCCACATGAAGAGCATAAGTGATGAAGACTTGAGGGAGATGGCTTTTTACTTCAACCAGAGCATAAGAACAGTGTCAGTACCCCAGGAATGGGTAAACAGCTACCCAATTGCACTTCCAAAACCAGGCAAAGATCATTCCAGACTCAGCGGTTTCAGGATTATCACCTACAAAATTCTTTTGACAAGGTGCTAGAGAAGATTATTGCTGTTAAAGTACACATGTTTTTGGAAAGAGAAGAGCCCCTGCCAAAAGGTTTGGCTAGTTACCGGCCAAAGAAAGATACATGATCAAATGCAGCTAATTTTGCTTTTGATCTTTATGAAGGGTTCCAGAACAGACAGGAGACAGTTGTGGCAGCACTTAATCTTGAAGATGCCTACAATAGAGTCAGATATGATATTTTGATTTCTGCACTCATAGAGAAGGGAGTTTGTCTGCGGTTTGTGAACTGGATAGCAGCTGTCCTGCATTCACGTATCGTTGCCATTCACGTGGGTACATGGACCTTAGAACCATGTAATATCACCCCGGGACTAACCCAGGGTGCTGCAATTTCACCAGTGCTCTTTAATCTGTATACAAGCAAGATTGCAGAACTTGAATCGCCAGGTGTTTGGAGAATATTGACATTTGCTGATGATGTTCTTGCAGAAGCAGGGAAGAGATAGGCAATGTATAGCTCACTAGCTACAGGCAACTGTAGACAAGGTGATTGACTTGTGTGTAAAAATGGGTGTTGTCATCAATTCAGAAAAGGCATCTGTTTTTTGGTGCTCTCTGGACAATAGTTCCAAACATCACAGTTAATAACAGTAACATCAAAAGAGAAAGCAAGATGAGGTACCTGGGTATCATTTTTCATAGAAGCCTGTCCTTTAGGGATCATGTAGATGCAGCTGCGGTGAAATGTCAAAAAGGACTCAGTGCTCTCAAGATTATGACAGCAATGGACTAGGAACAAAGAATGTTGTTCACAATGTTCCAGCATGTGATCCTGTCGGTGATAGATTATGGACTTAGCTTGCTGACCATATCAAAGAGTCAGCTGATGAAACTTGAACGCATACAGAATGAAGACATGCGGGTGATTCTAGGATGTACAAGAGATAGCCATGTAGTATGTATGCGATATATGCTTGCACTGCCTACTATTGCAGATAGGCTTAAAGTTCTGCAAGCAAAGTCATATCAGAGTAGCTGCGGACAAGAGGCACCTCCTGCATGAAGCACTGGATAGAGATAAGGGTCGCAGACTGAAAAGAGGAAAGCCTTGGATGGCGTAAGCTGAAGACACAACTGGACATGTGTTAAGGCGTGATCAATTTAGGGAGGAGAGGAGTGGGTCAAAGTGTCCGATCAGGTTTCAGACCTGTGTAGGGTTGTAATCACTTTGGGATGTGAGTGCAGGGACTGGCCAGCTGGTGCTGCAGAATAAAAAGTTCAACGAATGGTTCATGACAATTCCCGCCCAAGTGATGTGATTGTATATACAGATGTCTCTATGTTGAGGGGCAGATGAAATGCATGGGGGTTCAAAGCAAGGGCGAATGGACGTCGCCTGGTGCAACAGCAAAATGACATCTAGTTTGAGAATGGAGATGGAGACAGTCTCTGCTGCCTTCCACTGGCATGAGAATCAGCCACACAGATTCCATGACTGTAACTGACTCACAGAGCATGCTGAGAAAGGTGGAGACAGTCATGCTCCATGCAGAGTGGCAAGCATCATTTCAAAGGTAGTTAGCATCCTTTAGATATTTTTTCCAAGAAATGCCGGTGTGTTGGGAAATGAGCAGGCAGACAGACTGGCCGGTTCTGCATCACTTCGTGGTGAACTGATGTATGACAAGCTGGATGTTGTGAGGGCTCTTTGAGAGTGATTGAACAGTGCAGAGGCACAAATAGATCATTATGGTCTGAGTAGAATGGCGCTGCAAGGAGTTACAAGGGGATCTGGCCGATGCTCTACACTCAGGGGAAACGCGAGACAGATATACAATCAGACAGTTACTGGTACCTTCAGAATTGGAACTCTTCACTTGCAGCTGAAGTTGGGGACGGAGCGCTTATGGGGGTTTCCTGAGTGCTGTAATTTCAATTCTTATTTCAACATTCAACATTCAAGCAATCTGATACAAATTCATCTGAACATAAAAATCAGTCACCTCCAATATTCTGCAAACTTCTTTTGCTGTCTACCAGATATTTTCAAGTTGGTTCCATTGACAACAAGATCATTAGATGCATCTCCATCAAAAGAACCACACAAGCCTGTACAAGCAGAAGACAACATGCCAAGGTTAAACTAATTAGATGAAAACTGTAAAATGTTGATACAACTTCAAAATATATCAAGCTAATTAGATAAAACTGTAAAATGTCGATAAAAATTCTAAATATATCAGTCACATGCCTTGAAGTCCTAGGATGTCATCTGGTTTCCTTTAAGTCTGGGTCAGTCTGAGAGCCAAGGTCATTTTGCACAAAAATCAGCTTTGGTGATATATTTAAATATATATCTCTGAGATATGGTAGTAGCTATAATATTTAAATGAAAAAAGTAAAATATTGAGGCAATTAGGTTTTCAAGCAACATCACACACACTCAGAGAAAAAGAGAGGAGAGAGAGAGGGGAGAGAGAGAGAGAGTGTGTGTGTGTGTGTGTGTGTGCATGCATGTGTTTAGAGTGAATGCAGACCCTACATGCAAAGCAAAGAAAAGGGAACACTGTCACTAGAAAGCATCAAAATAGGAATAAATAGAAACAAACCTCGAGTGTGACCAAAGTCCACAGATGAGGCTGAAATCCAAACATTCAAAAATCTGGGCTCGTCCCTGGAAAAGCTCCTCCCATTCTCCACAATGATTATTGTGCCAGTCGGGAGGATGATCTGGCCAGAACAAAGACACAAAAAACAAAACAAAATCAATCAAACAGGAATCTAGCATACAGAAATGGTACTGACAAGCAAGAATGAATTACACAGCTAAATAAATACATCAATACATATGGCACTAGCAGGTGAGACGGGCAAAACTAAAGTAAAGTCAAGGCTCTACTGGCTAGACATCAACCTGGTTGCTTCAAGGTGAGAAGATAAGTGATATTGTGTATTTGTGTAGTGTTGTATAATTTATGTATGTGCTGAAGAAGGCTCCATAGCCGCAATGTCCCGTTTTGTTTGTGTTTGTTAGATTTTGAAGCTTGCTGATATACTTTCGGTTTTTTCTTTCTTTGCAAAACTAAAGTGGTTTTACATGTGGGTGGCTTGATTGGTTGGTTTAACTGGTAAAACTAAAGTGGTTTGTCTTATGGTTTGTCACTGCACTTAAGAACACCAGTTCTGTTGTAGTTTATTGTTCTTCTTTGACTTCCTGCACATTCTTGTCTGTTTCACTTCTTTTCACTATGTGTTTTTACAGTCTTATCATGGTTGCAGATTCACAATCCCCAATAGATTGGTACAAATGTCTTATTTCTCCTAGACTATTTGTATGCCAGTCCGGTCAATTGTTTGTCCACCCTCCACTGTAGCTTGTCCACAAGCCTTCTATCCTCTTCATTCCTTCTTACACTAGAATGTCCTGGCACAAAATTGAAACTAATCTGTGCAGTCATGCTGAGCTGACAAGTATATTCTAGTCAGTAATTATGTAGTGGCAGAATTGAGAAACTCAACTCCATGGATGTGACACAGAGAGAGATAAGTAAAGATAGCAAGCAACACACTGTGAATAAAAAACACATTAAGCATAGCAAAATGAATGAATGAATGAACTGACATCACATTACTCAGGACGTTCCCACACTTGCTCTTTTCCCTTCTTCAGCAACTAACATATAGTTGACATGCTAACAGTACCAGTTGGAACCTAATTAAAAGTCTGCCTCTCTTTCCTCTTTAATGTTGAATATCTTCCATAACCTCTACCCCCCACCCCGCTCTCTCCCTTCCCCATTGAATTAGTCTTTCAGTGCATGGATTCCTTATCTGTTCTTTTATCATGGAAAGATAAACGGTGCCTTCTCCATGACAACCAGCAGCATGACAATGGAGGTGATGGCAGTGACGCAAGCGTTTGCCTGGCTTGAAACACAAAAATACACCCGCATATGTATACTCAGTGATTCAATGAGTATGATCCGGAGGGTTCAGGCAGGTTAAGTGCGAAGACAATGGCTTGAATCATTACAGAAGTCCACTGTGCGTGGAGTCACCTTTATTTTTGTTCCGGGACACGCAGGCGTCGATGGAAATGAAAGAGCTGACAGGTTGGCTGGATCCGCTATCACTACCGACGGTCGGCCTATGGATCATGCTGATATTATCAAAGCCCTCAGAGAAATGGGAAGGATAGAAGACTTTGGTGGCAGTGAATCCACATCACTCGCCAGAATGGCAGACTTGGGAATTAAGATCGGCACAGCAAAAAACGAGACGCACACCGGACACGTCAGAAGACTTGTTAATCAACATAGAACTGGTACTATTAGCCATCGGACGTTGGGGTTCATACTGAGGGGAGGATCTGAGCACCTATGAACATGTCCGGAGTGCAATGACGATAACCCAACTAACTAACTAACTAACTAACTAACTAACTAACTAACTAACATGGAAAGATATAAAACCCAATTAAAAGTAGACCAGCGTGCTTCACAATATAACAAATAAACAACAACTGAACAATGTGGCTACAGTTCCCTCATCAGCATATACATAAATAAGAAGAAACAAATTACATGAATACACAGAATCATTTAACTGATGAATTTCTGAAGCAGTCACATTGATGTCTTGATGTTCTCACGTACATTTGAATATCCTGGATGATTTGCTCTTTATCTGGGTCTTATCAAATGAAAAAATCCACTATGTTTGCAGGACACCAGTTTACATTTTCCAAATCATGCTCTGTGAGTCTGTTACAATCACATGCTCTGTGAGTCTGTTACAATCACATGCTCTGTGAGTCTGTTACAATCACATGCTCTGTGAGTCTGTTACAATCACATGCTCTGTGAGTCTGTTACAATCACATGCTCTGTGAGTCTGTTACAATCACATGCTCTGTGAGTCGGTTACAATCTGTGCTGTTCTCAAGCCATCAAAATTTTGTATAATGGATGGCTGGCATTTAGAGAGCTAAGATCAGATTTTGAATGGATGGCTGGCAGTTAAAGAGCTAAGATCAGATTTTGTATACTGGATGGCTGGCATTTAGAAAGCTAAGATCAGATTTTGTATAATGGATGGCTGGCAGTTAGAGAGCTAAGATCAGATTTTGTATACTGGATGGCTGGCATTTAGAGAGCTAAGATCAGATTTTGTATACTGGATGGCTGGCAGTTAGAGAGCTAAGATCAGATTTTGTATACTGGATGGCTGGCAGTTAAAGAGCTAAGATCAGATTTTGTATAATGGATGGCTGGCAGTTAAAGAGCTAAGATCAGATTTTGTATACTGGATGGCTGGCATTTAGAGAGCTAAGATCAGATTTTGTATACTGGATGGCTGGCAGTTAGAGAGCTAAGATCAGATTTTGTATACTGGATGGCTGGCAGTTAAAGAGCTAAGATCAGATTTTGTATAATGGATGGCTGGCAGTTAAAGAGCTAAGATCAGATTTTGTATACTGGATGGCTGGCATTTAGAGAGCTAAGATCAGATTTTGTATACTGGATGGCTGGAATTTAGAGAGCTAAGATCAGATTTTGTATACTGGATGGCTGGCAGTTAGAGAGCTAAGATCAGATTTTGTATACTGGATGGCTGGCATTTAGAGAGCTAAGATCAGATTTTGTATACTGGATGGCTGGCATTTAGAGAGCTAAGATCAGATTTTGTATACTGGATGGCTGGCAGTTAGAGAGCTAAGATCAGATTTTGTATACAGGATGGCTGGCATTTAGAGAGCTAAGATCAGATTTTGTATACTGGATGGCTGGCAGTTAGAGAGCTAAGATCAGATTTTGTATACTGGATGGCTGGCATTTAGAGAGCTAAGATCAGATTTTGTATACTGGATGGCTGGCAGTTAGAGAGCTAAGATCAGATTTATTCACATTGAATATTTTTTTTTTTTCAAGTTTTTATCAGCAGAATTAAAATGAAAAACCAATAAAGTAAATCTGGGTTGACAATAACTGACCTGATACTGGTTACCATCATCCCGTTGCTGAATCCTCAAGCCAGGGTTAATTCCACCATTTCTAATCATCTGCACAGTTAGGGAGCGGGGCTTGGTTGTCACATGTGGGCCACACCTGTCTATCAGAACAACATCATCTTCGACCTTGACGGCAATAGCACAGTTGCAAGACGCTATGTTGCGATTGCACTTTCGATAAAATGCCTGGACAGTGTATGGCAAAGTTGTATGTTCATACAAGGTGAACAATCCCTCTTTGAAGTTATTAAATAATCTGTGGAGAATTCAGCAAATAAACAAACTGAAACAACTGAAAAGACAGGAAATGAGAAAATTTATCAAAGTTAACAAATCTGAAAAACATGCCATGTTACATGAGGTGACAAATCATCTAACTGTAAAACAAAATTACACTTGTCAACTATTCTTAATCAATTTTCTCTCTCTCTATCTCTCTCTCTCTCTCTCTCTATATATATATATATATATATATATATATATATATATATATATATATATATATATATATTTTATATATATATATATATATATAAATTCGTAATAAATACAAATCAAGAAAATCTTCATAGAGAAAACTGCATGATTCACATATGTTAACTTTACACCAGAGCCTCATCTGAAGTTTTAGAAATGTTTCTAATCCATTTTACCAGGAGCTACCAAAATAAAAGACCTTCATGATGATTACAATCTGGCATTTGTGCAGGAGCTCTAAGGAAGTTTTTGAGCAAACAACCACCACCACAGACACTTCACAATGATGACCTGATAATTGCTGGTTTTCTCTACTCACAACCGCTTTTGGTTTCACATCCTCCAGTGCTCCATTCAGCTCCTCCAAATAAAAGGCCCATCCATGTGGGATGTAACTAAGGCTATCTAGCTGATGCTCTCAACTTTAAACTTGTATCTCAACAACACAGCAGACTAAACAATTCTTGGTTTGTTCAGTAAACATGCCTAATCACACAACTCTCTATCACACAGCTGGCTAAACAATTCTTGGTTTGTTCAGTAAACATGCCTAATCACACAACTCTATATCCCACAGCTGACTAAACAATTCTTGGTTTGTTCAGTAAATATGCCTAATCACACAACTCTCTATTGCACAGCTGACTAAACAATTCTTGGTTTGTTCAGTAAACATGCCTAATCACACAAGTCTCTATTACACAGCTAACTAAACAATTCTTGCTTTGTTCAGTGAACATGCCTAATCACACAACTCTCTGTTACACAGCTGACTAAATAATTCTTGGTTTGTTCAGTAAACATGCCTAATAACACAACTCTCTTACACAGCAGTCTAAACAATTCTTGGTTTGTTCAGTTAACACGCCTAATAACACAACTCACTGTTACACAGCTGACTAAATAATTCTTGGTTTGTTCAGTAAACATGCCTAATCACACAACTCTCTGTTACACAGCAGACTAAACAATTCTTGGTTTGTTTAGAAAACATGCCTAATAACATAACTCTCTGTTACACAGCAGACTAAACAATTCTTGCTTTGTCCTGTAAACATGCCTAATAACACAACTCTCTATTACACAGCTGACTAAACAATTCTTGGTTTGTTCTGTAAACATGCCTAATCACACCACTCTCTATTACACAGCAGACTAAACAATTCTTGGTTTTTTCAGTAAACACACCAGACTATAAGTTTTGTACATCATCTCTATTAAAAAAAAAAAGAAAGCAGACTAAATCAGTAGCAAATCATGAAAATCAAGATAAGATATCAGACAATAGGTACATACATTCCATCAAATGTCCGGAAATGTGGGTCGTTGACAGACTGGCACATTGATCTTTTATCCTTGTCGATGACAGTCACCTAATTCAATGTATCAATCAAATCAATCAGAAAGTTGTCACACAGTCAATTTTTTCTAATTTCTATTTAGATGGCAGTTCATAGGGAATTCATAAGATCACAAATATACTTCACATTGAAGTCATTAGGTAACATTTATATTTCACAGTGAAGTCATTAAATCACATTTATACTTCACAGTGAAGTCACTATAATAAAGACAGCACTTCACAGAGAAGTTATTAGTTTACAGACGCACTACATGGTAAAGTCGTTAGGTCACAGGCGGTACTTCACGGTGAAGTCTCTAGGACACAGACAGCACTCCACAGTGAAGTCATTAATTCACAGACAGCACTCCATGGAGAAGTCATTAGGTTAGAGACAGCATTCACAGTGAAGTAATTAGGCTACAGACAGTACTCCAAAGTGAAGTCACTAGGTCCCAGACAGCACTTCATGGTGAAGTCATTAGGTTACAGACTGCACTCCACAGTGAAGTCATTAGTTCCAAGACAACACTTTATGGTGAAGTCACTAGGTTACAGACAGCACTACAAAGTGAAGTGATCAGGTCACAGACTGCACTCCACAGTGAAGTCACTAGGTTACAGACAGCACTCCACACTGAAGTCATTAAGTCACAGACATCACTCCACAGTGAAGTCATTAGGTCACAGACATCACTCCACAGTGAAGTCATTAGGTCACAGACAGCACTCCACACTGAAGTCATTAGGTCACAGACAGCACTCCACAGTGTAGTCACTAGGTTACAGACAGCACTCCACAGTAAAGTCATTAGGTCACAGACAGCACTCCACAGTGAAGTCATTAGGTCACAGACAGCACTCCACAGTGTAGTCACTACTAGGTTACAGACATCACTCCACAGTGAAGTCATTAGGTCACAGACAGCACTCCACAGTGAAGTCATTAGGTCACAGACAGCACTCCACATTGAAGCTATTAGGTCACAGACAGCACTCCACAGTGAAGTCATTAGGTCACAGACAGCACTCCAAAGTGAAGTCATTAGGTTACATATATCGCTTCACAGTGAAGTCATTTAGTCACAGACAGCACTCCAAAGTGAAGTCATTGGGTTACATATATCGCTTCACAGTGAAGTCATTTGGTCACAGACTGCACTCCACAGTGAAGTCATTGGGTCACAGACAGCATTCCATGGTGAAGTCATTAGGTCACAGACTGCACTTCACAGTGAAGTCATTAGGTCACAGAAGTAATTAGGTCACAGACAGCACTCCAACAGTAAAGTCATTAGGTCATACACAGAACTCAACAGTGAAGTCTTTAGGTCACAGACAGCACTCCACAGTGAAGTCATTAGGTCACAGACAGCACTCCAAAGTGAAGTCATTAGGTCACAGACAGCACTCCACAGTGAAGTCATTTAGTCACAGACAGCACTCCAAAGTGAAGTCATTAGGTCACAGACAGCACTCCACAGTGAAGTCATTGGGTCACAGACAGCACTCCAAAGTGAAGTCATTGGGTTACAGACAGCACTTCAAAGTGAAGTCATTAGGTCACAGACAGCCCTTCATGGTGAAGTAATTAGGTCACGACTGCACTTCCCAGTGAAGTCATTAGTTCACAGACAGCACTTCACAGTGAAGTCATTAGTTCACAGACAGCACTTCACAGTGAAGTCATTAGGTCACAGACAGCCCTTCATGGTGAAGTCATTTGGTCACAGACTGCCCTTCATGTTGAAGTCATTATTTCACAGACAGCACTTCACAGTGAAGTCATTAGTTCACAGACAGCACTTCACAGTGAAGTCATTAGTTCACAGACAGCACTTCACAGTGAAGTCATTAGGTCACAGACAGCACTTCACAGTGAAGTCATTAGGTTACAGACATCGCTCCAATAATAACCCTCCGGAAAACTTCTTGATACACCCATCTGGAGATTATCAATCACATCCAGCACTCATATTCTCTTCAGCCTTTCTCCTCCTCTCTTTCCAGACAAAGACCTTTATGCACTGTTTATCTTGTTTAGTAAGTGTCCAGGTCTTACAGGTGTTCTGTGTGTCCAACTGCATATTTTATTCAGTTGTTTTAGTCTTTGAAGAGCAACTGATAGTCATTGTTTAATTTCTTTCCTAATTCTTTCATATTTTTCTTTCATTGTTGGTAATTAATGACCTAGGATGTTCAAAATTGTCCACAACCTCCAGTCGTTCCTTAGTAACATATACTTCTTTTTCCTTAGTAGTTTTATCTGTATGCATTATCTTTGTTTTTGCTATGTAAAGATCTAAGTTGTGATTTTTCCTATTTCTGCGGGTTGAGGTTATCAAGTTGTCTATACCAGTCTGTGATGTGGAGAGCAATAGTGTATTATCAGCATATTGGGTCTTTGGTACTTTATGACCACCGACATTTATGGCATCATATTACTCTCTGGTTACATCATCTCTGACATTTCTCATGAATTTTTCTGTCTACAGGTTAAACAAATATGGTGACAGCACACAGTCCTGATAGACTCCTTGCTTCTTGTCAAAGCAGTATGATGTCTTGCCATCTATTCTAACCGCTGCTTGTCGGTCTTGTTACCAGGTACATTTTGAAAAACAAAATATCATTAATGATTTTGATGAAATCTCGAATCTGCTACAAAAATGGCTGGTTGACCTTAACTCATAACTGTTATTGCCCCAGCTGCAAGACTGGAACAGCAACTACAAAAATGGCTGGTTGACCTTAACCCATAACTGTTATTGCCCCAGCTGCAAGACTGGAACAGCAACTACAAAAATGGCTGGTTGACCTTAACTCATAACTGTTATTGCCCCAGCTGCAAGACTGGAACAGCAATTACAAAAATGGCTGGTTGACCTTAACTCATAGCTGTTATTGCTCCAGCTGCAGGACTGGAACAACAATTAAAAAAAATGGCTGGTTGACTTTAACTCATAACTGTTATTGCTCCAGCTGCAAGACTGGAACAGCAATTACAAACAAACAAAAAAAAGCGACAAGGAAAATAAACCAACTGCATGTCTGTCATGTTACTGATGGACAGTTTTTCTTTTTAAACAAGAAATGTAAAAACATTGATTTTGTAACAATTTTAAAACTAGTAAAAATCTTATAGTTCATGATCATCAAGAGTACAACCACTGATAATTGAAAAAAAAAAACACACACACACACACACCCACAACAACAACAACATACCTTGACAGTTTGGGAAAATAACTCTTTGGTAACTCCGGCGCAGTTAACTGAAACAGTAACACTGATGTCTCCTGTCACATTTCCATCTTGTACTGAATCAACAGTGGCTTGTACAGGAACACTTAGGCCTTGGCTCCACATTGCAGAATTCAACAGTTGACCACAACGATAACCTTCCTGGCCTCTATCCTGCCTCCCATTGTCCCCTCCGATAACTAGCTGTCGGAGTGATCTCCCATTAGGACACAGCTGCTTTCCACTAAACTGTCCTACAGTCACTGAAGCTTCTAGAATTGAGCTGTAATCCAGCATCTGCCTCTGGGAGCACAAGAGGTAAGCCGGTACTGATGACGTCACATGGATGAATGAGGTACCCAAGCCTTCGGTGACTGTCAGCTCAGTCTCTATCACCTGGGAGATCGTTATAGCAAAGTATAAAAATCAGGGAATTTCACAAACTTTTAAGTGAATTTCAGACTAGTCTCAGATAGTATTCCTTGATTTACAATCATTATACCCTTTTTGTCATACAGCTTTTTCACTGTCTGTTATAACTCAGGGAAAAGCTTAACCACAACATGTACTGAAGCCTTCTGTATAAAACACAGTAAAAACATTGAAGCACTTTTGTCTAAGACATGAAATATTGAAATCATTTGTGTCTAAAAAAAATACTTATTAAGCATTCTATCACATGTTAAAAAAAAAAAACTCAATGATGAATTCCAATTTTCCTTGAAGAGAAAAAAGTGAAGCATTCTTCTCTAGATACGCAGTGAAATACTGAAACAGTAGGATGATAACATGTGCATGTCCTATGAGACATATACTGGACAATAGGACAATGAATGACAATAAATGAATGACAATGAATGAATGAAAGAATGAATTGTACGAATAAATGAAAATGAATGATAATGAGTGAATAAATAAATAAAGAACAATGGAAAAATGAATGAATGAAGAACACTTAATTATTAAAAAAATTAATTATTAATTCATATATGAAAATGAATGACAATGAAGAAATAAATGAATGATGAATGAGGGATAAATGAATGATTGAAGAACAATGAATAAAGAACAATGAATGAATAAAACAATGAATGAAATTTCAATAAATTAGTAACTGAATGAGGAACGATGAATAAATAAATGAATGAATAAATAAATGAATGAATGAAAATGAAACAGTATGATGATGAAATCTGCATGCCCTGTGTGACATTTAGTGAACAACAGGGCAGTGAGACAATGAATGAATGAAAGAAAAAAAAAAGAATGAATAAATTAATTAGGAACAATGAATGAAATAGTGAATGAATGAAATAAATAAACAAGATCAAATAAATAAATAAACGACAATTAATGAGTGAATAAATGAAAAATAATGAATGAAAAAATAAATGAATGAATGATAATAAATGAATCAATAATACTGAATGAAATCAGGAAATAATGAACATGAATGCATTAACAACAAAGAATGACAATGAATGAATAAATACTGGATGAATGAATGCCAATGAATGAATAAATGAAGGAAGAGCACTGAATGAATGTTTTTTAAAAATGACAATGAATCAATTAAAAATATCCGGGTTCCGGAATCTATTTGTTTCACCTCTTCTTTCAGGTACCACATCTTCACCTTAGATGTTACCTCCCTCTACACCTCTGTTCTACATTCTGATGGGCTTGGGCTTTGCGGTTCTTTCTAGATCAGAAAGTCAGTCCTGCCATAGCGACTGACCCCTTGATTCATCTGGCTGAGTTAGTGCTCACTCTAAACTCATTCGAGTTTAATGGCCAGTATTTTAACACGTGTAGTCATTCTGCTGAGAAAATACCGACCGGGCTGCCTCGAGATACCAGCTAAGTGATTTTTTGTTTCTCTGTAGTATTGTTTTATTTGTATGTGCTGATGAAGGCTAAATAGCCGCAACATTCACATTTTGTTTGTATTTGTTATATTATGAAGCTTGCTTATATACTTTTCGTTTGGTTTAATATCTTTTCTTGATCAATTAATGAAGAAATCACAATGAATGAATAAATGAATTAAGTACAATAAATAAATGAATGAATGATTGACTGACAGTAAATGAATGAATGCACTCATGAAGAATAATGAATGTAGTAATGAAAAAAAATGAATGAATGAAAATGAATCAATGAAAATAGATGAATGAACAATATTGAATGAACAAATGTCAATGAATGAATGAATGATGGAAGAATGAATGAATGAATGCATGATGAAAGAATGAATGAATGATGATTAAAAAAATTAAAGAATGCGTGAATGACAATGAATGAATGATTGATGAAGGAATGAATTAAAAAAGGAATGAGGGATGCATTTAAAGACAATGAATAAAAGAATGAATGACAATTATGAAAAGTAATTAAATGCCAAGTGATGGCTCTATAGGCTGACCTTAACTGTGACATCAAATGTGGCTGTAAACGTAGACCCACGTAATTCAGGACAATTGTAGACATAGCATGCCGTCACAGCACAAGATATCTGTCACAGATGTAAGAATTATTTTTAAAATGTACCATCTGGTGTAAAATATGTCTGGCAAATTAGCAGAAGGGTTACACTGGAAGTCATACAAGACACAGACAGATGAAATTAAAGCTGTAACTATCCTTACAGGTGGACAAGGTCATCAGTCAATGTACACCTGTCCTTACCCTCACAGGCAGACAAGGTCATCAGTGAATGTACACCTGTCCTTACCCTCACAGGCAGACAAAGTCAACAGTGAATGCACACCTGCCCTTACCCTCACAGGCGGACAAGGTCATAAATAAATGCACACCTGTCCTTACCCTCACAGGCAGACAAGGTCATCAGTGAATGTACACCTGCCCTTACCCTCATAAGCAGACAAGGTCATCAGTGAATGTACACCTGTCGTTACCCTCACAAGAGGACAAGGTCATCAGTAAATGTACACCTGTCCTTACCCTCACAGGGTGACAAGGTCATCAGTGAATGTACACCTGTCCTTAACCTCACAGGCAGACAAGGTCATCAGTGAATGTAAACCTGTCCTTACCCTCACAGGCAGACAAGGTCATCAGTGAATGTACACCTGTCTTTACCCTCACAGGCAGACAAGGTTATCAGTGAATGTACACGTGTCCTTACCCTCACAGGGGGACAAGGTCATCAGTGAATGTACACCTGCCCTTACCCTCACAGGCAGACAAAGTCATCAGTGTACACCTGTCCTTACCCTCACAGGCAGACAAGGTCATCTGTGAATGTACACCTGCCCATACCCTCACAGGCAGACAAGGGCATCAGTGAATGTACACCTGTCCTTACCCTTACAGGGGGAAAAGGTCATCAGTGAATGTACACCTGTCCTTACCCTTACAGGGGGACAAGGTCATCAGTGAATGTACACCTGTCCTCACCCTCATGGGTAGACAAGGTCATCAGTGAATGTACACCTGTCCTTACCATCACAGGCAGACAAGGTCATCAGTGAATGTACATCTGTCCTTACCCTCATGGGCAGACAAGGTCATCAGTAAATGTACACCTGTCCTTACCCTTACAGGCGGACAAGGTCATCAGTTAATGTACACCTGCCCTTACCCTCACGGGCGGACAAGGTCATCAGTGAATGTACACCTGTCCTTACCCTCAAGGGGAGACAAGGTTCATGAACAGAAAGATAACTTTCCAGTCAATCCTTAAAATGAAAGGTTCATCATTATGCAGACCATGGTATAATTGGGACATGTATTCTCCCACTGCTTGGTGAGTCAATTATCTGAGCCTGGAAAAGATGGCACAGTCCCAGGTTTAGACTTAGCTGCAGTCAATCATTACTTCAATATAGAACAGCTGCGCAACTCAGGAGCTTTTCTGTCATTACTCATTTCTACTGTTTCATGTATGATGTAACTTACCTGTTTCGGTCATGGATTGTTGTCATGTATGGTGTAGCTCATCTGTGTCAGTTATTGATTGTGTCAGGTATGATGTAGCTTACCTGTGTCAGAAGTGGACTGTTGTCATGTGGGTTAGCTTACCTGTGTCGGTCATGGAATGTTGTCATGTATGATCTGGCTTACCTGTGTCAGTTATGAATTGTGTCATGGACAAGTAAGATGTAGTCAGTCATGGATTGTTGTCATGTATGATGTAGCTTACCTGTGTCGGTCATGGACTGTTGTCACGTATGATGTGGCTCACCTGTGTCAGTCATGGTTGTTGTCAGGTATGATGTAACTTACCTGTGTCAGTCATGGATTGTTGTCATGTATGATGTAGCTTACCTGTGTCAGTTATGAATTGTGTCATGGACAAGTAAGATGTAGTCAGTCATGGATTGTTGTCATGCATGATGTAGCTTACCTGTGTCAGTCATGGACTGTGTCATGTATGATGTAGCTTACCTGTGTCAGTCATGGTTGTTGTCATGTATGATGTAGCATACCTCTGTCAGTCATGGACTGTGTCATGTATGATGTAGCTTACCTGTGTCAGTCATGGACTGTATCATGCATGATGTAGCTTACCTGTGTCAGTCATGGACTGTGTCATGTATGATGTAGCTTACCTGTGTCAGTCATGGACTGTGTCATGTATGATGTAGCTTACCTGTGTCAGTCATGGACTGTGTCATGTATGATGTAGCTTACCTGTGTCAGTCATGGACTGTGTCATGTATGATGTAGCATACCTCTGTCAGTCATGGACTGTGTCATGTATGATGTAGCTTACCTCTGTCAGTCATGGACTGTGTCATGTATGATGTAGCTTACCTGTGTCAGTCATGGTTGTTGTCATGTATGATGTAGCATACCTCTGTCAGTCATGGACTGTGTCAAGTATGATGTAGCATACCTCTGTCAGTCATGGACTGTGTCATGTATGATGTAGCTTACCTCTGTCAGTCATGGTTGTTGTCATGTATGATGTAGCATACCTCTGTCAGTCATGGACTGTGTCATGTATGATGTAGCTTACCTGTGTCAGTCATGGACTGTGTCATGTATGATGTAGCTTACCTCTGTCAGTCATGGTTGTTGTCATGTATGATGTAGCATACCTCTGTCAGTCATGGACTGTGTCAGTCATGGAATTATCAGTTATCGGTTGTGTCAGTCATGGATTGTGTCAGTTATGGGTTGTGTCAGTCATTGACTGGTCATGTATGATTTAGCCTACCTCTGTCAGTCATGGACTGTGTCAGTCATGGAATTATCAGTCATCGGTTGTGTCAGCTATGGATTGTATAAGGTATGATATAGCTTACCTGTGAACCAAACATTCCTTGTCCATATTCTGTTTCATTCATGATGTCTTGGAATTCCAAACTTGCTAGCACAGTCTGTCGTACAAGTTGTTCATCAACTTTCCACACAACTTCATACTGAACATCTCCACGACTGAGACTTTTGAACAAACAGATGAACATTGTTGTGTTTCTGTCCTGTTTGTATTCCACACTGATGACTGGCTCAGATGGTAGAGTTGGCAAGTCTGGTCATACAAAAATAAGGACGTGACAAGATTGGAAATAGGACAATGCATCAATGGTTTTGCACTTTCATGTATATTAGATGGTTAAGTGGTAGAGTGGTGCTGACAAAAGCCAAGAAAGATCTGTGCACATAACACATTTACACTAGTCAACATTTGCCATCCCATGTGCTGTAGATAAGTTGCCAGTTTTAAGCTTGAGTGTGTCTAATGACCTTGCTGGTTAGTGATTTCACTGTGTCAGGTATGCAACTATCTAGCTTGTGTCATTGAAGAAAGAAGGTACAGTGCAGACAGAAAGAAAAAACACTAATGAATTTCAGTCATCAAAACTACCTACTTTCGCCTATAAAAATCTATATCTCTAGAATTGGTATCTGCAATCTAATAACTATGTGTGAAAATGGAAATGAGAAAAGGACCAAGAGAACTGCATGGGTGGCAAAAGTTAGCAGGGCTTGGCTTTGTCTGCCTTATTACTTGCTGGGAACTTATCTTTGCTGACAAAGATCATGTTATAAATGATTCTGATAATGGCTACCCCAACAAGCTGGAAGTTTCAAACTCAAGCTGTTGATGTACAAATGTCATAAGAGTGTATCTCATCCCCCATACAGTTGTTGTCAAACTGTTATAAGAGTGTATCTCATCCCCCAAACAGTTGTTGTCAAACTGTCATAAGAGTGTATCTTATCACCCATACAGTTGTTGTCAAACTTTCATAAGAGTGTATCTTATCCCCCATACATTTGTCAAACTGTCATAAGAGTGTATCTGATCCCCCATACAGTTATTGTCAAACTGTCATAAGAGTGTATCTCATCCCCCATACAGTTGTTGGCAAACTGTCATAAGAGTGTATCTTATCCTCCATACAGTTGTTGTCAAACTGTCATAAGAGTGTATCTTATCCCCCATACAGTTGTTGACAAACTGTCATAAGAGTGTATCTTATCCTCCATACAGTTGTTGTCAAACTGTCATAAGAGTGTATCTTATCCCCCATACAGTTATTGTCAAACTGTCATAAGAGTGTATCTTATCCTCCATACAGTTATTGTCAAACTGTCATAAGAGTGTATCTCATCCCCCATACAGTTATTGTCAAACTGTCATAAGAGTGTATCTCATCCCCCATACGCTTATTGTCAAACTGGCATAAGAGTGTATCTTATCCTCCATACAGTTATTGTCAAACTGTCATAAGAGTGTATCTTATCCTCCATCCAGTTGTTGTCAAACTGTCATAAGAGTGTATCTTATCCCCCATACAGTTATTGTCAAACTGTCATAAGAGTGTATCTTATCCTCCATACAGTTATTGTCAAACTGTCATAAGAGTGTATCTTATCTCCCATACAGTTGTTGTCAAACTGTCATAAGAGTGTATCTTATCCTCCATATAGTTGTTGTCAAACTGTCATAAGAGTGTATCTTATCTCCCATACAGTTGTTGTCAAACTGTCATAAGAGTGTATCTTATCCCCCATACAGTTGTTGTCAAACTGTCATAAGAGTGTATCTTATCCTCCATACAGTTGTTGCCAAACTGTCATAAGAGTGTATCTTATCCTCCATACAGTTGTTGACAAACTGTCATAAGAGTGTATCTTATCCCCCATACAGTTGTTGTCAAACTGTCATAAGAGTGTATCTTATCCCCCATACAGTTATTGTCAAACTGTCATAAGAGTGTATCTCATCCCCCATACAGTTATTGTCAAACTGTCATAAGAGTGTATCTTATCCTCCATACAGTTGTTGTCAAACTGTCATAAGAGTGTATCTTATCTCCCATACAGTTGTTGTCAAACTGTCATAAGAGTGTATCTTATCCTCCATACAGTTGTTGACAAACTGTCATAAGAGTGTATCTTATCCTCCATACAGTAATGGACAAACTGTCATAAGAGTGTATCTTATCCTCCATACAGTTGTTGACAAACTGTCCTAAGAGTGCATCTTATCCTCCATACAGTTGTTGTCAAACTGTCATAAGAGTGTATCTTATCCTCCATACAGTTGTTGTCAAACTGTCATAAGAGTGTATCTTATCCTCCATACAGTTGTTGACAAACTGTCATAAGAGTGTATCTTATCCCCCATACAGTTATTGTCAAACTGTCATAAGAGTGTATCTTATCCTCCATCCAGTTGTTGACAAACTGTCCTAAGAGTGTATCTTATCCTCCATCCAGTTGTTGTCAAACTGTCATAAGAGTGTATCTAATGCCCCATACAGTTGTTGTAAAAATGTCATAAAAGTGTATTTAATGCCCTATACAGTTGTTGTCAAAGTGTCATAAGAGTGTATCTCATCCCCCTTACAGTGGTTGTCAAACTGTCATGAGGCTGAGTCCAATTCCTAAAAGAGATGCACAGTCAATACTGACCTGTTATAACTTCTAGCACAGCCAGAACAGGCTTTGGAGCAGAAAATATTTCCAGCCCTCCTAACACAAAGCCAGCATAGCAGGAGGTGGACACCGTGGAGCCGATGATAAAGTCTTGCATTGGGCGGGCGGGTTTCTGGAGCACAGAGTACAGCCTTGTTGTGTAAGTGTAGTTGGCCCAAGAGACGGTGAGGCCCAATGAAGCTGACCAGCTGACATCCACTTGTACAAGTCTGGGAAAGTATCAGCAAACAGGTCGCAGGTCACATCGTTTGGCTAAGTATATTAGCACTTACATTACTAAATGTCTCGAAGGTCATGGGAATGATGATGATGATATTATTGATGAGGATGATATAGTAAATATGTTAATAATGATAGTGATGATAATGATGATAGTGTTAAGATAAAAGAGATGATGCTGTTAATAATGATAAAGATGGTGGTGATTTCTTCCTCTTCCTCTTGTGAATCATATCCTGGATTGCTACTTCTGAACCTGAGATCTACTGCTAAAGATGATGGTGTCAAGAAAGATGGAGGCACAGATGAAGACACACAAAGATGGATCTACTGTATCAAGAGGATGCAGGCACAGATAAAGACACACAAAGATGGATCTACTGTATCACGAGGATGCAGGCACAGATGAAGACACACAAAGATGGATCTACTGTATCAAGAAAGATGGAGGCACAGATGAAGACACACAGAGATGGATCTACTGTATCAAGAAAGATGGAGGCACAGATGAAGACACACAAAGATGGATCTACTGTATCAAGAGGATGCAGGCACAGATGAAGACACACAAAGATGGATCTACTGTATCAAGAGGATGCAGGCACAGATGAAGACACAAAGATCGATCTACTGTATCAAGAGGATGCAGGCACAGATAAAGACACACAAAGATGGATCTACTGTATCAAGAGGATGCAGGCACAGATGAAGACACACAAAGATGGATCTACTGTATCAAGAGGATGCAGGCACAGATGAAGACACACAAAGATGGATTTACTGTATCAAGAGGATGCAGGCACAGATAAAGACACACAAAGATGGATCTATTGTATCAAGAGGATGCAGGCACAGATGAAGACACACAAAGATGGATCTACTGTATCAAGAAAGATGGAGGCACAGATGAAGACACACAAAGATGAATCTACTGTATCAAGAGGATGCAGTCACAGATGAAGACACACAAAGATGGATCTACTGTATCAAGAGGATGCAGGCACAGATGAAGACACACAAAGATGGATCTACTGTATCAAGAGGATGCAGGCACAGATGAAGATACACAAAGATGGATCTACTGTATCAAGAGGATGGAGGCACAGATGAAGTCACAAAAAGATGGATCTACTGTATCAAGAGGATGGAGGCACAGATGAAGACACACAAAGATGGATTTACTGTATCAAGAGGATGCAGGCACAGATGAAGATACACAAAGATGGATCTACTGTATCAAGAGGATGGAGGCACAGATGAAGACAAACAAAGATGGATCTACTGTATCAAGAGGATGGAGGCACAGATGAAGACACACAAAGATGGATCTACTGTATCAAGAGGATGCAGGCACAGATGAAGACACACAAAGATGGATCTACTGTATCAAGAGGATGCAGGAACTGCCTAGTTTTGACCCTAGAAAACAAACCCGCCTCTTTGACTGTAGACTGTCAGCACAAACACAGTTGATTAGTTCACACCTTAAAACAGGCTTTAGCAGGAGTACAAGCTGTGCCTACAACAGATATTTGTTAGCTGGACACACAAACACCATTTACTGATACCTGTTAATCTCAACCTGGCCAACTTTGAGTGTCCATTGCTTGTCTTGTGTCCGAACATGGACAAAAGCTGACCCATCACAGACACTTAAAGCAGGACCCGAACCACTGTTATCATATCCCCAAGTGCTAAAGACAGAAGCTCCATCACACAGGTGGCTGAACTTGATGTTGAACCTCAAGGTGAAGCCCAGTGAGCAGGAGTCAGTGTCCAGCAGACTCAAGGTCATCTTGGAAAATGTCACTGACTGGTTTGCTGTGGCAAGCAGAAGAGACTTATCTCCCCCATATCCTGTGACTAGCTGAACATTGCTTTCGACTGCAGCTGAACCAAAGTTGGTGATGAGTTCAGACTGGTTCAAAGACTGGAGCTTCAAACGTTTTGTGAACACCTTTTCTTCTGTAGTGCAAAAAAATACCAGATTAATAATATCACCAATCACAAACTTTGTATAAACAAAATGGTCACCATTAATGAAGCAGAAACTGACATCCCCACTGACACCCACAGGGATTAACTCTTTGAGTCCCAGAGGGTTTAGCATCACAGGCCCAAGGGGTAGTCAAGAAAGACGTAAAATCGGCACATCTTGCGTTCTTTGGGCTTCTAGGTAGGAATATATGAACGTATGACGCGTTCCTTGGGACTCGAAGAGTTAAAGGTGAAGAACAATAAATGAATTAATCGTTTGAAATACTGAATACAAGAATTACTCTTCTGAAATACACAATATGTCAAATGAGTTCACTCAAACTGTATGTATACAAGAGAAACATTGAATCTGTTGTTCTAAAAATCTTCTGATATTTAGTCCCAAGATCAATATTGTTGTTGCAGCATTGTGTAACGAAATCCTGTTGTTCTATGTTTCTTTTTTTTTGTGGTTTCTACTGTAACATCATTTTATTACTTCAAATATTTTGTTCCATTTTATATTTCATTGTAAATATGCAATATCCTGGGCGGTCACTTGAGACCATATACATACAGTCACCTATAATAAACTTGGATCTGTTACATAAAGCTGTTCTTCCTGCTTACAGCATTGAACGCAAAAAGTTCAGTGAGATTAGATAAATGCCAGTGACAAATTTGAAATGCAAAAATCAAGAAAAGATACTAAATTATGAAAGCAGAAAGCAGCTCTGAACATCACTGTGAGAAGCAGCAAATGAAACGTTTTGGTCACATAAAACAGTTAAAATGAGACACTGCACCCAACAGCGACCTTTAGCCCGCTCTACAAACTATACACTATTAAAATATCTGGAGCTGCGTATACTGCTGTGTCTCATGCCTACACAAAAACTTGCTCCTGATATCTTTTCTTTAACTCACACAAACAGGATAGGAAAGATACAGGGGGGAGAAGCTAAATGAAGAAATTTAGAACAAACTAAAAAAAAAAAAAAGTATTCATAAAAGACATCTAAGTATACAGCAGGTCACAAAATGGGACTAGTAATCAATCAATGTCAGGAGATGCTGCCTTAAGTAGACAGTGATCCCTTTAGCCATGTACCACCCCTTCTGACCCTATGTTTTTTTTTCTCTAGGCTATTTCGAGAGTGATGTCATTTTCGCCAGAGATTACATAGAGGAATATCCCTATAATATGCAGGTGCTGTTTGGTAAATTCCCAGTTTTGAAAGTTTGCAATTTTCTGGCAAGGTAAAGCCCAGCGATTTGACATATAGAATTTGCTGCTAGCAAATTCGACAATAGTGCTGCAAAAAACCTGGCCACCAATGGAATCCCCACTAGTAGACATGCTGCTGGTATTGACTTCCGGTCGCTGGCAGGAAACAGAGCGTGCAGTTTTGGAAGACAGCTTTGATTTTGTCTTTCCAGCCACCTAAAAACCCTAGCAGTATGACGGTATAGTTACATCTACATCCAGGTGAGCACATTAATGATTACATACATCATGATTCCCTTTTGGAAGCCATATTTCACATATGTATTAGAAGTGTACTAGACAGGAAAGATCTCGAAGCATTCATTTCTGCTGATGATAGGTGGAACTTGAAATTGATCTTTTAGATACGATTCCTGTCTATCTGTACCGTGGGCGCTATTCCTATGACTGTATCTAGGACTTTTGCAAGATTATACACCTTCTATTGCATGTACAGAAACGATATATGACTGTTTATCATGGTTTGTATACTCTCTTGTAACATTGGAGATGTTTTCTTCTCATGTCTATTCTTCTATAATTCATGATATTTACTTGTGTTTTAGAAAATGCTGGTTTTTGTTTTTAGGACAGATACTCATGTGATTATCTTACTTATACACAGCCTTAATAAATGCCGGGATGTTGATGACATATTGTCTAAGAAAACTATACACTGGGAAACTTTTTTTTTTCAGCACAACAAAAGCTGGTTACAACCATAAATTAACTACACAATGTATTATCTGGAAAACAGGTAAGGCTCCAAGTTTTATTTAGAATCATCATTATTTATAGAAATAATTTTACAGCATCCTGTCTGATTTTGTGTTGCATTTATAACTGTCTATTGCTGTCTGAGAGTGAGGAAATATGCAGTATTACACTGTCATCGTAAAGGACAGAAGATGGAAGACCATTCATCTGGACTGGACAGTAGTTGGAAGTGAAAGCTATGTAAATGACTATGCTATGAGATCAATTTCCCTACTTCTGACAATATGAAGAGAGAGAGGGGAGAGTTGGAAATATTTTTTTTATTCTGCACAGATTTAGGGACTATACATTTTGTGATTGTTTCCATCCCTAGCTGCTAACAAGCCATGGCCTGATTCCTTGTGGCAGGATGAGCTTCCAGACCGCTGCTAGGCTGGTCATAGTTGAGGACTGAGATGCCCTGAGAAAGGTCTTGATGTCTCTTGTGGTTGCAACGTTCAACATCAATTTTGGATGAAGATCCTCTGGGAACCCACCAGGTAGTAATTGGTTGTCCCAACAAATTCTCATTAACTCTCTCATGACACCAGTTTCATGTGACTATCTTCTTTATTCCTTCATATTTCTAGATGTGTGTGGTGTCAGGTTAGTGCTGTCCACCAATATAACTATTCTAGATGGGGGTTTTATTTAATGACCAGAATAGGAAACTGTCAGGAGGGGTAATCTGTTGTGTCTAAGTGTTTAGGCATCTAAATTCCCTTTTCCCAATTCGGGGGATATTCAAGCAGCTCACTTTCTTACATGAGCTAATTGGAGTCTCTATCTGAGTATCCAGGGACTGCTCTTTGCATCAAAAGACAGCTGTCTCGGTTTCTGGTCTGTATCAGGAGGGAGGATTTAAACCCGCCCTTGTGAGGAAATAGAAACCTGTGCCACAACAATCAAGATAAGACAGAATACATGATCATAAGAAGACAGGGAAATGATATAAACTCCGGCCACATAACAGTCGATAATGTGAAAATCTAACGAATGAAAACATATAAGTAAATAACTTTTGACTGCTACAACATGCTGAGAGAAGAAATACAATATAGAATGCAATCTGGAAATAAAGTAGGTTCTAATCAATTTAAGAGGCCCACATTGAGAGTGACTTTCCCACCCCATTGAATTCTCGATCTAGTGTAGCGCTTGCACTATGTGGCAGGGGTGCATCCTAGGTCACACAAATGTATGCAGCCTATAATGGAGGCTGCATACAGTCTTGGGGCAGAGGCTGTGGAGTAAGGGGGCTGTGGTTAGGCCCAGTTGTACATGTTTTAAGACCATTAAAAGCTCACAGCAAAGAAGATGCAATATTGCTAGCCACTGACAACAAGTAGTAAAATTCAACTCGCTATGCCTGAAACCCCTGCGACGCAGTGCAAGAGCTACACCAGATAGAGGCATCAATGGAAAGAGAATTCACTCTCATTGTGGAACGCTGATCGTGTAATGTACCACAAAAGTATACTATGCCCTTCAACATCTGCTAAAGTCAAAGTCTCCATCTCGCAATACCTATCAAAGATGTGAACAGTGGGGAATGGAGAGTGAGAAGCAATAATGAAGTTCATATTCTGTTTAAATCACCATTGATTACTAGCATCATGAGAGCTGATAGACTGAAATGGTTGGGGCATATTGAGAGAGCTCCGCAACACTTGCATAGTCAGGAAAACTCAACGACAGTTGTCCGTCATATATTTATTCACAAGAACTTTTAGGTCTAGCATCCTGCACACAATGAATGGCAGTGATGGTGACATGATGTGTGTCCATACGCTGGCTGGCTAACAGGGCATTAACCTATTCTCCAACACAGTCCTGGTGGCGCTGCATAGTACAGCATAGACTTGCTGTTACACAGATTATTCTCAAGCTTACTGCCTCAGTCGCTGGCAAACCCTCATGTCAGGGCTAGCAGTAACAATGAACAGGCTTCATCTATCTTACTCAGCTTGACCTCAGTTGCTACACTCAGTAACAGGCACTTGTACATCGGCTAACTGAAAGACCATACATATATTTTCCACTGGTGGACGACAACTATATACCACATGACTAGATGTTTACAGTACATATTTCTCACCAGGAATCAGACTCCATAAGTCTGTGGAGTTGTCTGGCTGACAAAAGCTCCTAGGATCATCCTCAAACACAGAGCCACAACTGTAGCACTTGTTGTTGATAACACAAATGTTGTTCTGAAAATCAGAGATTCAACCATAAATGTAACAGTTATCATTCAGAGTAAACATTACATGCAAAAGTGAAAGACCAACAGTGTCACACGACACTGCAATGGACTATGAGTCCCATGCCTCCTCATAGCCCAATATAAAACTCTGGTCCTGAAAGATAGAAAGATGCCAGCAAAAAACACAAGTCTCCCTAGCAATGGCCGTTCTTTTGTAAAGGAAATAATGTGCTACACATCAACAATATTCAGACAGAACATACTTTCTTCTGGCACACTCCTCCGGCACATGTTTGACATGACCCATCATAGAGGATTCTGGGTAGCTTGTTGCCCACAGTGACGCCATCATTGCTGAACTGGATCTCAGCTGAGCTTGTCAAGGTCACATTGCACACAATATGATTCGAGTTGATGAACACAGCATTGTGTTTCCTTTCTGTGTTCTGCAAGTTAAGAGACACAGTTAACCTTGAATCTTGTTGTTTCACAGTGCATCAGTTGTCAAAATTTACAATTTATTAGTTGGGGTAAAACTATACAATTCATTAGTTGGGGTAAAACTATACAATTCATTAGTTGTGGTAAAACTAAACAGTTCATTAGTTGTGGTAAAACTATACAATTCATTAGTTGGGGTAAAACTATACAATTCATTAGTTGGGGTAAAACTATACAATTCATTAGTTGTGGTAAAACTATACAGTTCATTAGTTGTGGTAAAACTAAACAATTCATTAGTTGTGGTAAAACTATACAGTTCATTAGTTGTGGTAAAACTATACAATTCATTAGTTGTGGTAAAACTAAACAGTTCATTAGTTGTGGTAAAACTATACAGTACATTATTTTTGGTCAAACTATACATTTTATTAGTTGGGGTAAAAACTAGACAATTAATTGTGGTAAAATTTCCACAAGCAAACAAATCATTTTTTGTGATTAAAGGAGACAAATTAAAACACACACAAAAGCCCACAGTACTAGGCTAGCACCTGACAACCGAGTGATGATAACAGAAGAAAAACATTCCTTTACAGTCACAGACAATCCACATTCTTTTCACACTGATTCACAGGCATTAGTCAGATAACTAAACCAGATAGTTCAGCAAGAAATGTGTCTACACATCATTGAAGAAGATGACAGATGAAACAAAAAGGTATCCCACTCCATACCACCTACAGGAAAGAGAGGACAAAGTAAGATTTTGTTCACTAACAGCCCAGGTAGATGAGTGGACACTAAAAGTTTCTATAGTACATCCACAGTCCAGGTAGATGAATGGGCAAAGTAAGATTATTTAGTACATCCACAGCCCATGTAGATGAGTGGACAAAGTAAGATTATTTAGTACATTCACAGCCCAGGTAGATGAGTGGACAAAGTAAGATTATTTAGTACATCCACAGCCCAGGTAGATGAGTGGACAAAGTAAGATTATTTAGTACATCCACAGCCCAGGTAGATGAGTGGACAAAGTAAGATTATTTAGTACATTCACAGCCCAGGTAGATGAGTGGGCAAAGTAAGATTATTTAGTACATTCACAGCCCAGGTAGATGAGTGGACAAAGTAAGATTATTTAGTACATTCACAGCCCAGGTAGATGAGTGGACAAAGTAAGATTATTTAGTACATCCACAGCCCAGGTAGATGAGTGGACAAAGTAAGATTATTTAGTACATCCACAGCCCAGGTAGATGAGTGGACAAAGAAAGATTATTTAGTACATTCACAGCCCAGGTAGATGAGTGGACAAAGTAAGATTATTTAGTACATCCACAGCCCAGGTAGATGAGTGGACAAAGTAAGATTATTTAGTACATCCACAGCCCAGGTAGATGAGTGGACAAAGTAAGATTATTTAGTACATCCACAGCCCAGGTAGATGAGTGGACAAAGTAAGATTATTTAGTACATTCACAGCCCAGGTAGATGAGAAATTATCTACATTACTGTAAGAAATATATTTCTCAGAAGACTTACAATATTTGTGAGGTGGCAGGTCAACAGAAGTCTTACATTGTTTGTGAGGTGGCAGGTCAACAGAAGACTTACATTGTTTGTGAGGTGACAGGTCAACAAAAGACGTACATTGTTTGTGAGGTGGCAGGTCAACAGAAGTCTTACATTGTTTGTGAGGTGGCAGGTCAACAGAAGTCTTACATTGTTTGTGAGGTGACAGGTCAACAGAAGACGTACATTGTTTGTGAACGAACGAACGAACGAATGAACAAACAAACAAACTTTATTTTCAAATGGTTACAAAATGGGCAGGCAGGCCCGTCTGACATTCGGCCCTGCTAAGCACTCATTTTTCAGAGTACCAATGCCTGTTATCAATAATGCATGCTATGGATATAATAAAGAAATATAAATTAAAGATAATGCATACACACATCATTTGTACATAATCGTACACACTCCACGCATGTATACATACTTCTACGTTCTCACACATGCAAACTCATATACAAACATAAAACACATACACATACATAGACATAAATGCACAAACAGAAAACACACACACATACATTTAAGGATATACATGCACAGACATATACCTATACATGCATCCATGCATACGCACACATACAATTACATGTACAGACACCAACATATGACCACAACCACACATTTACACTTATATGAATTGTTTGTGAGGTGGCAGGTCAACAGAAGTCTTACATTGTTTGTGAGGTGGCAGGTCAACAGAAGACTTACATTGTTTGTGAGGTGACAGGTCAAATTGGTTGTGTCCAAAAATCCAGAGCCTAGTAGCTGGACACTGCCACAGTCGTCTCCAGAGGCAAGGTCACAGCTCCAACCTCCAACAATACTCATGATTTCTGGGGCTATTGACAAGTCTAAGGAGCAATCTGCTGATCCAAATCCACTAGTACATTCACACAGACCTTAGATATACAAATTTATTCATTAGCTTTATATCTTCATCAAATCAACTCATCAAATCAACACATCAAATCAACTCATCAAATCAACTCATCAAATCAACTCATCAAATCAACTCATCAAATCAACTCATCAAATCAACTCATCAAATCAACTCTTCAAATCAACTCTTCAAATCAACTCATCAAATCAACTTATCAAATCAACTCCACTCATCAAATCAACTCATAAAATCAACTCATAAAATCAACTCATAAAATCAACTCATCAAATCAACTCATTAAATCAACTCATCAAATCTACTCATCAAATCAACTCATCAAATCAACTCATCAAATCAACTCATCAAATCAACTCATCAAATCAACTCATCAAATCAACTCATCAAATCAACTCATCAAATCAACTCATCAAATCAACTCATCAAATCAAATCAACTCAACAAATCAACTCATCAAATCAACTCATCAAATCAACTCATCAAATCAACTCATCAAATCAACTCATCAAATCAACTCATCAAATCAACTCATCAAATCAACTAATCAAATCAACTCGTCAATCTCTAGATAAAGTTTATGTTTCTTTTGAAGTCAAAGTGCTTCTGCCTGGGAGATAAGAAACCAACAGTCTGCATACAAATCAGCCAGATCTGTAACATGAATGTGCAAACAGCACTCATAAATTCTAACAAGATCAAAGTCCAGAAGTTGACAAACAACCAGGACTTTCTTCCCAGAGTTTACAGCAGATGCGCATGAAGAAGAAGAAGATTGTAATAATCTGAATGCACTGACCTTTGACACATGTGCCATGTTGAGAGCAAGCATTGAAGCACAGACCTGGATCTTCAGCCTCTAGGTGACCGGCAGTGGCCAGCCTCCATCTGTGAGTCTCAGAGGACACCACATGGACACACCGCCACAGGAGGTCATCGATGTAATCCTGCATGCTTTCAGTGTCTTCAGTCAACTGCAGATAACAATTCAGACAGTCTAACTAACAAAAAATCATATTTTATTTTGACAAGTTATCAGATGAATGTGCAACAAAGACTGACATTACAAGATTGTAGGCTATTTACTTGAACAATAAGACAGACGCATAATAACATGAATTTAAAAGTTATAATATTTGGTCAGAAAACAATAATCAGGTCAGAAGTTTGTTCATCTTCTTTTTCTTCACAGCCACTGGCTGTAACTTCAGCAGAAAGTTCCAGTAGTTTTTATTTTCTCACACTAGACACTGGTCTTGTTCCAGAACCTGAGTTTTGCTTGCACATAAATATTACAGTTCTGGCTTACTTGTATGCAGACTGTTGGTTCCTTGACTCTTAAGCAGATGTACTCTGCCTTTGAAGGAAACACTCTGTCGTATAACAGGATACACACATCTACCGCATTGGACAGGTCCACAGTTTGAACACCCCCAAAATCGTCATTGTAACTATGATATCGGATAGGCCGACCGTAGTTATATAGTTCGCTTGTTGTGGGGGAGTCCAGAGAGGAAAAATCCATATCATTCACTCTTAGATTGATTCTTTTAGGCTTTTAGTGTCGATTTACACGTTAGGACACATTTTCTACGCCTATTTAAAATAAATTGTCTGACCACTTCACCGCATACGTGAGCCGGATTCTTACACCAACTGCTGTAGATGCGGACTGTAGTTTCACACGTCACTTCTTTGCAGTCCATTCAAGTGGGCATACTTAAAACTTTTTTTTGCTGCCACTTGACCGTTATAAAGACAAGCTTTTGTTCTCTTTATCCATTTATCATGGGATTTTTGAAGATCCAACAAGCGTCCGTGGTCTGAGTGCTTCCACCTACCAACACCCAAGAAGCAACTGAGGTGTGGTGAATTGCTGTTGCTGAATGTGTAGACGGTACTAGAGTCGACATCTTCCGATCTCTAGGGAGTTGATTGTCCTTGATCAATTCCAGAAGCGGCATAATTCTTGTGAAGACGGTCTGTGAAGTGAGGCGGTGTGGAATTCCATTCTGGCATCCTGAGGAGCTGCGAGATCTAATCAGATAAGTCAGAGTAACATTCTGAAGCAGCTTGATTCCAAATGGGCCTTTATAATCTGTCCCATACCTCCGCAGTCATGATTCCGGAATTAGATACAATCCTATAAAGAAACTGTTTTTCTTTCTTTGATTTTCCTAAGAATTGAACATTCATTCCAGTTCTTAGAACAACTTTTATCTTTCTTGTTATGAAGTAATTAATACATGCAAATTATAGTTCACAAGACTTGCTGTTCTTAGCTAAGTTGCTGTGGTGAATTAATTGTCGTAGTCGGAAAAGTATTCCCGTCTTGTCACATTCACTGTTGTCTTTATATTCGACTGTGTTTACGTTGTTTACCAGTCTGGGGGCAAAAAATGTGATGAGGACGTCTGGCCGAGAGGTACCCAAGTGTTCATAATAACCCTGTGGAGTCAGAGCTCGAGTCCCCTCATCCCTGAGACAGGTTGAATGGAAAGTTTGAACCGAGGGTTAGGCCTCTAGACGAACGAGAGCCACCATTCAAAACACTCCTGTCTCAGAGCACCTGAGGGATTTGTGAAAATATTCCGTAAGTAAAGGTGCGCGACAAAACTGCCATACGACACACTCCTAACTACTTGCCTACTATGACAAGCTTGTTAGGCGGCAGTTGTGCCTATTCTTTTTAAAAAATCCTGAATGGGACCCTGAAACCCACACAAGGAGTGATTTGTTCTAATACTTGATTAGATCAAGTCAGATAGCCACCACACAGAGTAGTTCTTTGTTGTAATACTTGATTAGGTCAAGTCAGATAGCCACCACACAGAGTAGTTCTTAGTTGTAATACTTGATTAGATCAAGTCAGATAGCCACCACACAGAGTAGTTCTTGTTGTAATACTTGATTAGATCAAGTCAGATAGCCACCACACAGAGTAGTTCTTTGTTGTAATACTTGATTAGGTCAAGTCAGATAGCCACCACACAGAGTAGTTCTTTGTTGTAATACTTGATTAGGTCAAGTCAGATAGCCACCACACAGAGTAGTTCTTGTTGTAATACTTGATTAGATCAAGTCAGATAGCCACCACACAGAGTAGTTCTTTGTTGTAAAACTTGATTAGGTCAAGTCAGATAGCCACCACACAGAGTAGTTCTTTGTTGTAATACTTAATTAGATCAAGTCAGATAGTGAGAATGTACATTAGGAGAAAGCAGAATATAAACATGACACTGAGGCGCAGCTTCCTGAACATGTTTAGATAGATGTATGTTTGCATGCGTAACAGTTGCCAAATTCCTAAAAAATATCCTTCTTCCAATATCCTAACCAATATTTTAGTGAATCAATCAAAATAATTACTTGATTAATATATCAATAAGACTAAAATAAATTAGCTAACGAGGTAAAAATCATGATCTGAAAATATTGAAGGTAAGTTGTTTGCCAGAATGTCACAGTACCTGGATGTCTCTCACACAAGAATAGATAATATCTTGAATATTCAGCTTGTTGCTAACATTTGAGCAGGCTGCCATCACCGAGCTCTCGTTCAG